TTTTTTGGGGTTGTTATTTGTTGTTGTTGTCGTTGTTATTTTTACCTGTTCTTCCTCGTGCCCCAAGGGCGGAACTAGGACTTCACTTTTAAAACAAGTGAAGTGTACCAGAAAGAATGCTACATTCTATCTTTAGAAAAACATTCCCATAATGGACTCTTATCGTCGGCCAGCTGTTCAGATGTACTAAAATCAGTGTTATTTTTTTAAAATGCAGTTCTGTTTTTCAATCTGCGGTACCGGTTCTATGTGCCCAAAAAATTTGTTGTCAAAATTCCAATTCTAAACATTAAAGAAGGCAAGAAAAGATACATAAATTAGGATCAACTTTTAACTCATTGATAATGTGCACTCCGGCCTTTCTACAACGCATGAGTGTGTGCTGTTTTGGGGCATAACTTCACCATTCAAACAGGGTTTTCGATTTTGTTTTCTTTACCCTAAACTTCAAAAGGCATGCAACAATATGAGACAATTAACAATCAAATAAGCAAACTCATGTTTCTGATTTGTGTAATAAGGTTCGAAATGTGCTGAAACGTAGATGTTGCTCTGCTGCTGATCGGACGTATATTTCTGCTCCGTCTTCAAAGAGTTAATTAAAAGAATTTTTTTTAAATTGTCTCTCCTGAAAAAAAAAATTTTCTTTCTAGGCTAAGAACATTTGAACTTGCCGACGGTCTGTGCGTTTCCACGAGAAACAAAATGCATCATGTGTAACAGAGATGGGCAACAATGAGATTAAGATAAATATAAATCTCCAGAAGCATCTTGAAAAATCAAAAGAGAATCTTCGAAGGAAAAGAATTGAGCTAGAGTGAACAACAATGTGAACCACCCCCCCCCCGGAACAATAATATCACCAGTATCCAACGTAGATCCAACACATGTTATGTCTATTTAAAGACAAATTTCCGAGTGCATTTTATGGGAAAACGATGACCTAAGACACAAATAATGTAAATTTACAGTTTCCATGGATTCTTATTCTTTTGAAACCCCCAAACCTTGTCTGCCATTTTCTCACTATTTTTACACCGACACCAGGGGTCTCTTTTAATCTCTAAAATCTCTACTACTACTCAATATAGATTGGGTATTTTTGTAATCCACAGCAAGACAAATAAACAATCTTTAAGATGATATCAATAACCCCAAAATAAGCCCAAACATGAACAAACACCTGAATCCACATTAATCCTGCCACAACTTTGCCTATTCAGATTTTTTTATTATGGACTTTGTTTATTCTTAACTTGATTCACAGTAATACAAATGCAGTTTGTAAATGCATTCGTTGTTTTTTGTTTCCCTCTATTGTTTTCATAGAGACACTCAACAGGTACTGTTGTAAGTTAAGGGCTTGTACCTCTATTTTTTCACCAAAGATGGACCTATCCTGTTCTTCGTTTGATCCCTTTATATGTCACTTATACCACGGCACACGCTTTACATAACACCTGCCCAGGAGAAGCACATCTTTGTCCTAGCAGGAAATCTAACAAGATAGCACCCTGTCCTTTATAACAAGACACGTCCCTGCCCCATTTAACAAGATACCCCCCCCCCCCCTGGCCTATTTAACAAGACACTCACATGTCCTATTTGACAAGACACACCGCCTCTCCTGTTAAGCAAGACACATTCATCTCCTATTTAAGGCACGCAACTGTCTTATTTAACAAAGACACACCATTGTCATGACAAGATACATCCCTGTCCTATTTAACAGACACGCCCATGTCCTATTTAACAGACACACCCATGTCCTATTTAACAAGACACGTCCATGTCCTATTTAACAGACACGCCCATGTCCTATTTAACAAGACACGTCCATGTCCTATTTAACAGACACGCCCATGTCCTATTTAACAAGACACGTCCATGTCCTATTTAACGGACACGCCCATGTCCTATTTAACAAGACACGCCCATGTCCTATTTAACAAGACACGCCCATGTCCTGTTTAACAGGAAACGCCCATGTCCTATTTAACAAGACACACCATAGTCACTGCCATGACAAGAAGAGCCCCTGTCCTGATCAATAAGACACACCCATCCTCACAAGACACGCCCCTGTCAAACTGTCGCCTCCGTCAAGCTGCCAGTCATCGGGCCGGTGTTACAGTAGATCTGGTCGTCCGGGAGACTTGCGTCGGGGGCAGGCGGACTCACCTTGTCATCTAGGGAGAACAGTTACAGAATATTGTGTCACGATACCTTGGGATCAGGCACTCGTCAGTTTTCGAGCATATGGAATTATTGATATAATCGTAAAGCTTGTACATTTGTCTT